CCCCAAAACCCCAAAACCCCAAAACCCCAAAACCCCAAAATATGAAAATATAACTAAATTTTAAAATAAAATGCTTCCTAAGACCAAAGAGGACCTCAAGAAAATCCTTCAGAGCAAAATTTACTCTAACCCACCCACTAGCCTTAATGTTGCTCTAAAACGACTCAATTACGAAATGTAAGATATCTAGTCTAAACCTTATTTATAGGCTAAAACGAGAAGAATTCGACTTCAGAGTAAACTCTTTGCCATAATGATTCACATAGGAGCGAAGTGAAGGCAGAATTCTAAGAATGGGCGTTAATAAGAAACCTTCTATTACACAGAATATTTTAGGTATCTTGGATTTGATTCATTAAACATAATGCTGGCTACTTTTAGACTCAAGTCTTCTGAATTAAGTCAATACACTGTTCTCAAATAATTTTAACACCATAATCTAACAATATTTACTTCGTTTTTAGTCATGAAGAAGATTGAGAAAAAGAAATAGAGCAGAACTTCGGAGAGAGAGAAGACTAAAGAGTAAGTATACTATAAATTGAAGGTGCTATTAATTCATGAGGATTTTAAAGCCTTCATCTTTCCTGACAACTAGCTCATCAGTTTGTTAAATATTCCAGCAGGCTTTAGCTTATTTGGGGGTTGAGAGTTGATAATTTGGTCTCTGATACAAATTTTCAAATAGACAGAAAATTAATGTACAAATAATTTTGAAGAGAAACAAGATTCAAGTGAAAGTACAGATTCAGATGTCTCCCGTAAAACCCGTATGGAACGGAAGAAAAATAAGTTAAAACTCAAAGCCAAGCTTAAGAGATTAAAGACACTTAAAGCTGCTAAAGAAGCTGAGTTGAGAAAACAGAAGAAGCAAGAAAAATAAGAAGAAGAAATTAGAACAAAAGCCAATCATTGACAAGAATCAATTTGATATTTTCAGGTCAAATTCACCGAGAATTAAGCTTGGAGATGGGATTATCATAGGCTCTGATGGAGATAGTAGCGAAGCAATGGAGGATAAAGCCAATAGGACTATCAGTAGTGAATATAGAGGAACTTTCAATATCACTAAAAGCCTCTCAAGGAGTAAAAGAGAGAGTGTCCAGGATTCAAAGTTCCTCAAACAAACACCCAAACCTACATTTTATCATCCTAAACTATCCTTGATTCAGAAGAAGGTCAAAAATGTATATATTTTTAAGGGAGGCGAGACTCATAGAAAGTAAAACCTTTGTCTATTTCTATAGGAAAAAATCTGATTATGAAGAATTTAAGTGCTCTAAAAATCATGGTCAAAGCGTTCAACTCAATAGAAATACAATTAAATAAGGATCTTCAGATCCCTAAAGATACTCTGAGATCTGCAAGAGATCAAAACAACAAGAATTCACACTCCCAGTTTGCCACAAATGGAGATATGATGGAAGGAGATTTATCAAATCTCAGTAGAATAGAAGACCCAAAACCAATGCTAAACACTTTAAAAAGATTCCATTCTAACTCCTCTGCAGCTGGTACAAATTATTCAAGGTTGTGTTCTAGAAAGCATACAGCATCACCTCAATTTCCTGTAATGGTGTGGTTAACCTTTAGGAATACTATAACATTCAAGGGGAGCGTATCAGACTCCAAGATACTCATAGGTAAACCATTACTCTTCAGAACCAATCTAACCTATTGTATAGTCATAAATATACGTAATGTCCAGAGAGTAAGAATATAGGGAAGACAAATTCCGCTGAATCATTGATATTGGGAAAACTTCCCACCGGCGTCCCTTGTTTAACCCCATAACAAGCCCTGCCTTTTACAATATAAGGTTCGACTTTTAAATAGTTATCTGTAGGGACAGCCAAACTATTAGGAACATTGTAATGCACCCTAAAAGATATAAGGATGAAATTAAGAAGAAAGTGGAAGAAAGAAGGGCAAGCCAAAGAAGCACTTCGTTATTGGACAAGACACAATTGTATCTGAGCTTACTTGCCTCTGGGCAAAATCTCGAAGGATATTAAACTATTTCAATCTGGAAAATAAGTGAGGGGTTTTGGGGTTTTGGGGTTTTGGGG